TTGTTCAGCTGTTGTTTGGCGTGCACAATCAATTATCTTCAAGACCCCGCTTGACACATGAATGAAAAGAGATAAGCCATTTTTTCACACTTTACGATATTTACAAATGAAATTCTAAATATCAATTAATTCATCCTTTTAATTAATAGTTCTAAAGATAAACGCGTCTTTAAAATTACATTGGCATTGCGGGTGAAAACATCGCATTGATGTGTATCGTAAATATGTATTTTTGTAATGTTGCTGTACACTTGCTGTGGCCTTCAACTCGACATTTAGATATATCGACGACGTATTGTCAATTAACAATGGCTATTTCCATTCTTATGTCGATACGATATATCCTGGTGAACTTGAGATAAAAGATACCACAGAGTCTGACACATCTGTTTCATATTTGGATATTTTACTTGAAAAAGACGTTAATGGTAATCTAACAACCAAGCTTTATGATAAACGTGACGACTTTAACTTTTCAATCGTCAACTTCCCTTACTTATGCAGCAATATACCTTCATCACCTGCATACGTGGTATATATCTCTCAGTTGATTCGATACACAAGAGCATGCTCTACGTATGTACAATTTCTAAAACGAGGTAAATTATTGACAAATAAGTTGATGAAACAAGAATATCAGCTGTCTCGTTTAAAGTCATCATTTCGTAAGTTCTATGGTCGATACAATGACCTTGTCAGCAAATACAATTTATCATTGAGTCAAATGCTGACTGACGTTTTTCATACTAATTGTTAGGCCATTATTTACACACTGAATTGTCGACGGATTTTTCCGTTATTTCCCGATCATGACAAGGAGCACACGGCGGGTGTGACCGGTCGGCAGGGGATGCTCACTCCTCCATGGCACCTGATCCCACCTCTGATGTTTGGAGGTCCGTGTTTGCTCTGCTCCTATTTTGTATTGTTTAATGGACTTTTGAGCTTGAATACTGTTCGTTATCTCCATATAATTCATTGAAAAATTAGAAACAAATCCACCAAAATATAATTTTATGACTCTAAACTGCTAATTTTTTTAATACACAAGTTTTAATATTTTTCAGTCTTTAGACCAATAAAAGTAAGAATATAGATCTGATGTAAGTTTGGTTGTGTGACCTACCAGAATTTCCTCTGTCCTTTAATGAACACTGAAGGTGAATAATTTACCTTTTGTAAACAAAATTATTTTGTTTCAAATTAAGGTTAAATGCTTAAAACTTGTTATTACTAGTACTGTTAATTTCAGATTCTATAAGCTAATAAATGTACATTCACAAGTACGCATGTGTTTGTAAGTGGTGGTGGTGGGGGGGGGGGGGTGGGGGGGTGGGGGGGGGGCGTCTTTTTCACAGTATGCATATATTTTGGAAACATCCTAATTTTCGATTAATTGTTTTTATTATTGAATTTATCAATTATTTTGTCAAATATTTAATACCATTTTTGTATTGAAAATGCTTGTTTCATATGTGTTATGTGTTTTTCAATTTAATTCATGGTTCCTTTGCGAATTAGGTCGCGAAATAACCGCGAATATTAGCACTTCGCTTAAATCTTGTGCCACAGTTTAATTTGAAATGATGAAGAACCCTGATTTTTATATTAATTGTCATGTACAGACTACAGTGTATACTATAATGAAAATTGAGATCATATTTTTAATCTTCTTCCGGTAATAACTTTTTGATCATTGATCAGAACCGAATTACAAGTAATGCCCATTCTTCCATTTTGCATCCCATCCTACCTGTGGTGTTGCCAGGCCACATCTTAAATTTGGCCTTGTCTGAGTTTGAATTATTAATTGGATATTTAATACTAGAAATTTAAGGAATATGTATTCCAAAATTATTTCCGTTTTGGGGGGGGGGGGGGGCATACAGTGTTTCAGCTATCCAGGAGAACAATATTCGCCCCGTAGGCTATCATTAAATTCCGGAACTAACAATTTTTTCAACATTTTCTCCTACAGAGGAGAAAACATTTTAAAAATTAGTAATGAACATGTTTTCTGTTTTCTTTGTCCCCTTGTTTGTTTTTTTTTAGTCACGCACTTGCGAACGAAATTTCGCATCGAGTCAGTGCACACAGAGCTGAGGTAGGCCAATAAAACAATAAAAGTCCCATGTAATGGTTGGCTTTAGAAAATCGACAATCGTGAAACGCAGTTTGGACGAGTGATGTGGTCAATTGTTTGTCAATTTTTAAATTCTCCCTCATTAGAAATAATATAGTCTAGACATTTAGTTCGTAATTGTACAATGGAGTACACATTAAAAATGTAATCGTGTAAACAATACTTGTCATTATTACATCTATAGTTTGAAAGAATATTTCATAAAATCAAAGTTTCTTGAAAAGAAATGATCCAATAAAACTTTTTGAATATGAGTTTTAACATCGTCACAGACAATGGCAATAATTGTATGATCCTCTCCCATTTTGGCCGGTAGAAGAGAAAGCTATACATGCTATATGAAGACCTCGAGAAAGGGCTCGAGACGATGGAGTTTAACATGCATGCTTAAGTAAAAACCTTTCGGCATTTAGCTGGCTTATATTTATTGCTGATTTTCTGATTACGATCGCAATAGACCCCCCTTGCTGGGAGTAACCCTATGGGTCTGTATATTACAGTAGCTGACATCAGTTTTTAAATTAGCGTCTAAGAAAATTTTGTCTTGCTCTGCTCACAATTTTTATTGTGACTCTTCAACATGATTATTGTTCGTTGTCTTCACTTTTCATGGAAAAGTTGAAGTCATCTTATTTGTCATACAGTTTAGTTGTTAGATGGTCATTATAGTCTATAGTCAGTAAAACACCCAAATATGAAGAAAAAGATGTTGTGGACTCTGTGGTGTCTTTTATTTCGAGTTCACTAGGTTATTTTGAGTCAACATATGAATGAAAGAAATAATTGTTAATTGATAAAACTAAAAAAAATCTGAATGTTGAGTTAAAACCCACAGCAGGATTTTTCTTGTTCTCATGTAGAAGTATTTGAATAAAGTCTGCTTCGTAGAATTATACGTCTGTAAATAAAGGAGTACAATTAGGTCCCAACAAAATTCCAAAAGACTGTTGGAAAACATGGTCTTCAAAGACTACATAGATCTTGTAAAAGAGAGACTAAGGACTATTTTTAACATATTAATTGTATAATGACTAGTCTCGAGACAGGAAAATTCCAAAGTTCCATTTTTCTTGAAGAAGCCGTTTTATGATATCAAAACACTAAATCTTTAATTCATCGTAAGGAAAGGCTTAAAAAGTATTGAAAAATCATACGTTTTGGTGCTACTGACTTTGGGGGAAAATGTAATCTTAAATGTTTTAAAAATGTAAAAGTTCGTCAGAGATTTTAGTATCCATAATTTATATGATTAACTCATTTTCATGAATATGTTAAAGCATAGTGCGTCTTAAGTTTCTCCTTCACAGCAGTTAATACTTTTGTGAGAAGTAAAAAATAAGGGATTGGTAGAGTTTTTGCTGGAACCTGCATGCATCTTGTTTGTAAGAATTTTATTGAAGTTTCAGAATACAATGTATTCGAGAAGTGGTGTAAATCAGATGTGGATACTTAAAAACTCCAAAGAACTTTTAGAAAATTTGAAATCACAAAATTTTACGAAAATCAATAGCATCAAAACGTACGATTTTTCAATACTTTATGCAACCATTCCCAACGATAAATTGAAGTCCAGGGTTTTTGACATCATAGACAGCTGGTTTCAATATGTTCTCAATAGGATTTTGCTAACTTAAGTCTCAGGACTCAAGGTTTCTGAGAAAGTTGAGTCCTAGTTAAATTTGATTCGTCCCGGAACACTTATGTTGAGTACCAATTGAATTACTGCAGTAGTCTTCCATCCAAACTAGAACAAAAATCTTTACTTTAACTTTTATTTGTTTAACTGTTTATGTTATGCATTATTAAAATATTCAATTTTATTACATTTTCAATAGTTAAATTCTTTAATTTATCTATTGAATAATAGTCATAGCTTGTCACAGTTGAAAGGATTTGAAAATGATATTCTGCCACAGTGTGAGAGAATATCAGAAGTGTAACAAAACTCGAGATTTTCCTCCCCTCACGAGGAGTGTTGTAAAAAATACTCCCTGGTCTGTTATCAGATAGAGAGAATGAATTAATCATCCTGACAAAGACTGAAACTGCTTTCTTCAAATATGTTGCTGTAATCCATGTTTACAATGTTTTAATCTCGCAATCCCTTAGATAAGTCGTTTCAACCGCTTGATTAATGACAGCATATGACACCATGTTAAGAAAAGACAGAGGCAAAGGGAAAATCGAACAAAGTGTAATAAACAGAAAATTCAATACTTTGTTGAATACGCATGTATTTTGAATATGGCGAGGATGCATTATCAATTTATATATAGAGGATATTCAATATTTTGTAGTTGAATATGTAATTTACTTCACTCGTGAGACAGGATTTTTTGATATTTTCACTCGTGCTTGACACTCGTGAAAATATAAAAAAAATCCTGTCCCACTCGTGAAATAATTTTCACAGGTATTTTGAAGAGAATAATTAATACCAAAAATAAAATGATTATAATTCAATAAATACAACTGTACATTCGTCACGGTAGCTCAGCTGACTTAAGTTGATAAAAAATAGGTAGCAACTGTTCCTTTGGCAAGCGTTCGGTATGTTGAAGTGAAAGTTGCGTTTTTTTCGGATGAGACCTTAAATACCGATGCCCGTGCGTGTCCCGTGTAGGCGAACCCTCACTGCTCAATGGCCTTAAGTGCCGATTAAAGGTCTAAATTTGAAGCCTTTCACCGGTATATGGTGACGTCTCTTCCGATCACGGAACGAGCGCTCTACCAACTGAAATACCGTGACGGCCTATAACTTCCAATGAAAAATACATGCAATTAAATGTTATTGTTTCAGTTGAACAATCAAGTTGTCTGTTATTTTCATTATCTCCATAATTAGAGGTCAACTTACGTTTACAAAAGCCGTCCTTTTGTTGAAAATCAGTACAGCATTTCAGTGTTCCACTTCAGTTGACCATAAAAAAATATGTAAGGAAAGTGCTACTATCGAATAATTAAATTCACTTGAGAATATTGATATATTTACAATATGTAAAACGCACTTACAATGCATCCTTGCAAACTCCGGTTCCATTTGTAAGTACAGTTTCTGTGAAACAAAAATAAGACATATGCATAATACTGGGTGAATAGCTTCATTGTTATCCCCATATAATGTTGGCTATGATGTATAACAACACATAAATAAATTATATGACCCTAAAGGTTTCATATCACGTGCTCCTTACTTACTGTTTTTATTTCGTACTCGAGTTACTTAGCTATTTTGATATCAAAAGACAAAAGGTCTGCCAAGTGTCTTTTAACATTAAAAAAATGAACAAAAAACTTGAAAAATCGGTAGCCTAAGAGCACATATTATGCACATGCCGTTACACATTTTTCTTATTTAAAAAAGATATAACCCCATACCAAGGAATGGGGTTATATTTTCTTAAAAAAAGAAAAATATATAACGTCAAGTGCATGTGATATTGTGGTATATTTTCATGCACTTCTAAAGCAATCGTTTTTCGAAGATTGTTTCGATTATTACGGCAACCACTCAAATGCTCATTAGGGGTTCTCTGTCATATTAGGAAAAAAAAGAACTGTTGGAATTACGAAACATTTGTTGTTGTTTTTTAATTTTGTTTTGTTTTTGTTTTTTTAAAGATTATATGCATTATGGATCAGGCATGTAAGACACAAAACCACGTTTCTGTTATTATCATGCTCCCAGTCTGTTGGTCTCTACATAATCAACAACCTACTATTTTTGCGTAGCATACAAAGGATTTATATAATGTAAGCATACTGTGCCGAAAAAAGTACGCGGATGATTTTTCTAGAGACAATAAGTTATGTTTGCAACCACGCTAGAAATCGAACTCACCATCTCAAGAATGTCAGTGCAACGCGCTTCCGACTACGCCACAAGCACTAATTCGTTAAAAATATTTTTTCAAGTATATAAACATAGTTTCATACATTTTAAAAAAAACAATAAACAAATTAATGTCATCTCAAAAAGACTGATTGAGAGCGATCTTGAAGAAAAATTCTCTAACAAATAGATATCAAAACTTGCAAATGAACAGGTACATGTGCTTCGGAGTCAATAAAACGCTTTTTGATAGAACGCTTGATTGTAAAATGTTTGAGAAAACTTTCATTTAAATGTAACGTCTACAAACAGATTAATTTGGAATTGAGAAATTTAATTAAATTGTCATAAACATGCAACAGTCGGCATAAAAATTATAATAGACATAAGTGTTATTATTTGGATGCACTATGCCGAAATAGTAGCCTTTGGCTTGTGCACCATGAGTCACCCTGACTACTATTTTGGCATAGTACATCAAAGTAAAAACAATATTATCTAATAATAAGATTCAAGTTCTTGAGATGTGTGGTGTAGGCTCCATTGATACATTCATATTTTTAAAAAAAAATCAAAAACTACAATTATTCTCCTACAGTTGAATTGTTAAAACCAGCAAAAGGCAAATATTTTAATATTTATTACAATTATTGTGAATATTTGTTGTCATTTAACTCTTTGATCAGCCCCAAACTTAAAGTCTTGGATCCGCCGTAATAATAGATTATATGATATCGGTATATGATGCTGCAACTGATTTTTAGCTCATTTCAAACCAAATTGTACAGCTTTTAATAGCAATGTCCTTTAAAAGAAATTATAATTGGAGTAGGTGTGGTGTATTTTTACAAGTCGAACTTTTTCCTGCAAGAAAACAATTAAAAGTTACAAATGTATCTGACAAATACTGAATAATGAAACATAATGTAAATTTCACTTTTTATTTTACAAGTTATGTGCCCCCTCTCTCTCCGCTAAATCCACTACTAATAAATCTTGTCGTTTGCTTCATTTACAGATGACAATTGAATGTAGAACGTTTTTCTTTTATCGACCACGATATCTCAAGGATCAGGATTGGTTGATTGTATGTTGTTTTACGTCCCATTCGAGAATTTTTCACTCATATAGGGACGTCACCATATACCGGTGAAGGGCTTCAAATTTTGTCCTTTACTCGGCACTCAGGGTCATTGAGCAATGAGGGATCTTTATCGTGCCAACGCCTGCCGTGACACGGGGCCTCGGTTTTTAAGGTCTCATCCGAAGGACCCGCAACTTTCACTTCAAAGTGCCGAGCGCATGGCGAAGGAACAGTTGCTACCCATTTTTATCGACTTAGGTCTGTCGCGGCCGAGAGTCGAACTCACGACCTCCCGATCACGGAGCGAGCGTTCTACCGACTGAGCTACCGTGAACGGTATCAAGGATCAGGAAGAAGCAGTTCAAATTTTTGTTACGATATATGTTAAAGCTTGTTTCACCTGTACACTCATGTTAATTCTGTGGATTTATATTAATTTCTTTTACACATTCGAAGGAAGTGTATTAATTGATACATATCAAAAATATGCCTTATAATTATGAGTTAATAAAGCATGTTATAATGAAAAAGCATACCGGCTAAATGTTGAATAAAGAGAGAAAAAAAGACAATTACATTGTAATATTGCAATAGCATTTAAAGTATATTGGCATATGTAATCACTTGACTAACAAAGAATATATTTTATGACAAGAGGTCCAAGGGCCTTAACGGTCACCTGAGTATAATTCAATAATTTAGAGGATCAATAGAGTATAATATGAACTGAGAGAGGAATCTTTGTTGCCCAAAAAGCAAGAAAAATAGGGTGATCAGGATCAACAAAATAATTAGTCTGGTATTCATTTATCACTGTCACCATATAGTATATGAACACACTATCAATGCTTCTGTACTAGTAAAATTCCATGTTGAAATGTTGAAATTACATTGTTGAAATGTTGAAATTACATTGGCCTCTCTTGGTCTTTGATGAACATTTAATAAGACAAGTTATTTTTGTCTCATTTTTATTTATCTATTAATTACAAGTCTTCCTGATCATCAAAACTATGAAAATACCTTTTGTATTATACAATAAAATTTCTTGCATAATTCTCTTATTCTATTAACCTTTCAAGTACATTATTTACAGTGATTAATTATCAAAAGTAAATGGCAAAGGGGAATAACTCCTCTCAGTAGAATACAAATAAATAGATCCCTGGCCAGGACCAGAACACTTGACCAAATGGTCCAGATGTTAAAAAATCTGGTAAAAATACCCTTCCTTATTAAAACTTTTACTCTTTTTCCTCTGATATGTCCAGGTGCTGAGAAGATTTTTCAAGAAATAATGCATTTTTACTACAGATTCACTATATTATCAATAGAGCCCCCCCCCCCTCCCCACCGAGAAACACCAGAGCCTCTAGATCTGACCCTGGGGCCAGAAGTTTGCTCATCATAAGTAATCACTGTGTTTATCTGCTTAACACTAAGGAGCAGACAGGATTATCTAACAGAATTAATGCATTTTCACTATATTATCAAGATCCCCACCCTTACACCAGCACATCTGACCCAGTGGTCATGCAATTTACTACTCTGGAAGAAGCACTCTTGCTCATCATAACTATACACTTAGCTTTTTTGCTTTTTAACCAGAAGGAGAAAAAAATATTTTCAAAGAAATCTTGTTTTTTCACTATATAATCAATAGAGCCCCCCCCCTCCCCCACCCCTTTTCACCAGAACCCTTGGCCCAAGGGTAACGAAATTCACAATTTTGGAAGAAGAATCCTTGCGTATCATAACAATGTACTTAGTTTGTTTAAATAATACCCTGGGGGAGAACAAGATTTTCAAAGAAATAAGTCACCTTCACTATAGGATCTATATAGTCCTTCCGTAGCACCAGAACCCCTGTCCTTGGGGCCATGAAATTCACAATTTTGGAAGAGGAATCCTTGCTTATCATAACAATGTACTTAGTTTGATTAAATAGTACCCAAGAGCAGAGAAAAAGATTTTTAAAGAATTAATGCATTCTCACTATATAATAAATAGAGACCCGCCCTAACACCAGAACCCCTGATCCAGGGGCCATGAAATTCACAATTTTGGAAGAGCCATCCTTGCTTATCATTACTATGTATTTAGTTTGTTTAAATAATACCCAGGAGTAGAGAAGATTTTCAAAAAAATAATGCACTTTCACCATATGATCTATATAGCCTCGCCCTAGCACCAGAACGCCTGACCCTAGGGCTATGAATTTCACAATTTCGGTAGAGTCACTCTTGCTTATCATTACTATGTATTTAATTTGTTTCAATAATACCCAAGAGTAGAGAAGAAGATTTTCAAAGAAATAATGTACTTTTCACTATATAATCTATATAGCCCCGCTCTAGGACCAGAACCCCTGACCCTGGGGCCATGAATTTCACAATTTTGGTAGAGTCACCCTTGCTTATCATAACTGTGTATTCAATTTGTTTCAATAATACCCAGGAGTAGAGAAGAAGATTTTCAAAGAAATAATGCACTTTCACTATATGATTTATATAGCCGCGCCCTAGCACCAGGACCCCTGACCCTGGGGCCATGAATTTCACAATTTTGGTAGAGGGCTCAATACTTATTACAATCATGCCAACGGTTTGACTGCTTGATGTCCAGGAGTAAAGAAGAAGATTTTTAAAGATTGCATTAATTTGTATGGTTTTGGCCCCACTCCTCAGGCCCCAGAGGGGGGAGGGGGGGGGCAGGGGGCACGAATTTCACAATTTTTGTTCCCCTTCACCCATAGATGCTATATGCCAAAATTGGTTGAAATTGGTTTGCTGGTTCCAGAGAAGAAGCTGAGAATGTTCAAAAGTTTACGACCGACGCACGACGACGGACGAAAAGAGATAGCAATAGGTCATCTGAGTGACTCAGGTGACCTAAAAAACAATTGGAAGAAAATTTTGGCAAGCTTTTATTTGCAGGGCACTTAAGTGTTAAAAATTGCGAAAAAATTAGCGCATAACTCTTCCCACGTTATACATTCAGACCA